CTATGTTGAAACTTTCTCCTCAATGTGAGGGTGTGTGGAGGTAGGGCTTCTGGGAGGTGATGATGGCATGACCGCAGCATCTTTTTTAATGGGGTTAAAGCCCCTATAAAAGAGGTCCTAGAGAGACCCCCACCCCTACCCGCCAGTGAGACAGAATAAAGGACTGACATCTACACACCAGGACACACCCTCACCACACAGCAAATCCCCACTTTGATCTTGGACTTCTTAGTCTTCAAAACTGCGGGAAATAAATGTTTGTTTTTTATAAGCCATCCAGTCTATGACATTTTTGTTAAAGCTGCCTGAAGGGATTCAAACACACAGGTTTCAGTGTTAATATTTATCTGTCCTGTAACTGAGGCAAAAAGGGGAATGGATATTTTTCTGAATCCCAAGAGAATCTTAAAAGACTTTACTATTAGCTAATGATGATACGATTAGTCAAGGTAGTCAGTTGGTTAAATATGAGACCAGTTAGTTAAAATTAAATATTCTATAACAAAAATAAAATGAGTACATAATATCGAATATCAAACAACTATGGACTCAAGATTAAGACTTTTATAGAATGGTAGCTAAAGTAGAAACTCCAAGCTTCTTGCAAACGCACATTCAACTTTTTTTTAAATTTTGCAGTTTTTGGCCGGGGCTGGCTTTCAACCCGCCACCTCTGGGCTATGGGGCCCGCGCGTGACTCCTTTGAGCCACAAGCGCCGCCCCCACACATTCAATTTTATGAAACCTGAAAAAAAAGGATATTTACCTCAATCCGGCCTTTGTTAACTATCTTTAGTGTCTTTAAGGTGTCAATAATTCTTCTCCAGACTTCTTTATGATATAAATGTTACTCTTTTATATTCTTAAAGAACCTGACAAATACTTTTGAATGTTTTCTTATTCTTGGTGCTTAGTTCTACGTTTGGGAGAAACATACATAAAAGAAAACAAATCCTCACACAAATAAACAGGTAATTGCCCAATTGCAACAAAAAATGCTAAGATTAGAGGGAAAATAATGTGAACTTCTAGCAGTTAAAATAAGCATGGGTAAATTATAAAGTAAAATGCAAAATTCACATGACTATTTCATGTATTTCCAGCCCGTTGGTTCAGTTCGGGGATGTGACCTTCTGGCAAGAAAGGGCACCTGGTGCAAAACTTCCAAGAGGTGTGGACTTAACTTGTAGGAGCTTCTGACTTACTCCGGTTAATTTCGTGACAAGTTGTCAGTACACTGCGAAGCGCACCACAAACCTGCGCTGATATTACTCCCACTCTCAGAGAACTTGGAACCCCGAAGAGAACACCCCCCTGCCGCTCTGCAAATCCCTTGGAAAACCTGGAGGTGGAGCAAACACCGGAACCTTAAGTGGCGCCGAGAACTGCGAGAACTGCGCATGCTCTGTCGGAGGAGCAGCGCCCCGCCTTTCCCGGCTCGGAAGTCCGTGTTTGTTTTCTAAATTACGACCGTCGTAAACCAAGACTGCCAGACGGCTTCGTAGCTTTACGGTGACAAC